AAGAAGCCCGGAGGAAAGGGGAAACCACATTGAAATGAGCAATAACAACCACCAACAGATTGACTGGATCATGACAGTGTGTCTAACGTATCACTGCCCATCTCTATAGTTAAAACCTCAACTGTGCATGATGTTTTTCTTCCTTTCTTTTTAACTCAAATACATTTTTAAAAGCTGACCTTTATGAACTAAACTTTAGTAAATAAAAGAAAGCATTGGCAAACACTTTGTAAAAAGTGTGTTGGTCTATGGAAATTTGACTCTGGTTTCCCAGGAATGACAAAAAGAAGGGTTTTCATTCTTTGCTACTATAGAAACGGCACATTTGTTTCTGTGATTGGAAAGCATAAATTCACCACCTTCCATTGTTTCTCAGTAATAAAAATGTCAGTAGTACTTGTTTTATATGTGTCTAAGGCCCAACATGTGAAAGCAAAGAAATTCAAACATTTGTAGCACTTAGATTTATGGCTTAGATTGTGCTCTAATACAATGTATTCTGTTAAATGAAGTGGCATCTCTCAGATTTTGACTTGTGTCTGGCCTTTTCTCGTCGTACTGACACACCACACAATTGGTCAGGTTGATTTAGCAACTACTCCCTATGGTTTCATCTTACCTGATTTTGCCTGATCTCCTTCAGTAATTATCAGATGCCTCTATTGGGCAAAACTCTGAATGTGTACCATTTTCTAACACTAAATCTCCAAGCGGACCCTGGGGACTCAACCTTGGCAAACTAAACATGATCCATCCTTCCGGTCACAGAGGGAACCTTTGCTTCTGTACCACTGATCAAGTCTACCTTGGTTTAAATACCACCTAGTCTTTCTTTAAGCTGTTCCGAATGCATTAGACAAAAACAAAGCTCTACGAATTGATGTTCTAACAATTGAAATGTTCCACCAAGCTGATTCAGCACAGGAAACAGTCTATATCAAGAAACTTGGAAGACAGCTACTTGGTCAAATGACAAAAAGAGATCCATATCTGTGCCCATTCCAAAGAAAGGTGACCCACCAGAATGCAGAAATGATTAAACAATATTATTAAAATCACATGCAATAAAATGTTACTGAAGATCATTCAAAAAGAGGTACAGCAGTACCTAGACAGGGAGTTGCCAGAAATTTAATCCAGATTCAGAATAGGATGTGGAAACAGGATATTATTGCTGACCTCAGTTGGATCTTGGCTGAAATCACAGAATATCAGAAAAGATGTTGTTTGTGTTTTGTTGACTATGCAAAGACATTCAACTGTGTGGATTATAACAAACCAGGGATAGCATTTTAAAGCACTGGAACTCCAGAACACTTCATTGTGCTCATGCATAACATGTATATAGACCAAGAGGAAGTTGTTTAAACAAAACAAGGGAATACTTCATGGGTTTAAAATCAGGAAAAGTGTGAGTCAGAGCTTGTGTACCGAGCAAAGAATGTGAGAAATTGGACTATATGAAGAATGCTGCATCAGAATTGGAAGAAGGTATGCAAATGACGCAACCTTACTTGCTAAAAATAAAGAGGACTCGAAGCACTTACTCATGCCATGATAAATAAAGAAAAGATCGAAGTTGTCAGGATTTCACTTTACTTGTATCCATAACCAGTACTCATGGACGCAGCGGTCAAGAAAGCAAACACCATGCTGCCATGTGAAAACCTGCTGCCCAATAGCTGACCGAGGACCACGGCGCCCATAATCCAGCTGTGGTATTTCTGACCAACTCATATGTATGTGAAAGCCAGAAAATGAATAAGGAATACCAGAGAAGAATCAATGCATTTGATGCTGGCTAAGAAATTGAAGTACCATGGACTACCAGAAGAACAAAGAAGTCTGTCTTGGAAGAAATATAGCCGAAGTGCTCCTTCGAAAGTTGGATACCAAGATTTCACTACCCATATTTTGGACATGTTATTGGGGCCAGTCAGCTTCTAGAGAAGACTATCGTGCTTGGGGAAGTAGAGGGAGAGCAGAAACGAGGAAGACCCTTGGTGAGATGTATTGATGCAGTGGCTAAAACAACGACTCAAGCATAACAATTCTGAAGATGGCACAACATAACAACAATACAATAGCACCTCTTCAGGTAGCAAAACTGGTTGAGTGTTTGTGACTTCTAATCAAATGCTCAGCGGTTCAAACTTACCCAGATGCATTTCTGAAGAGAGGCCTCATGATCTGCTTCCAAGAGGTCACACCACTAAAAACCTCGTGGAGGGCTGTAATCCGCCTACGGGTCCATAGCATGGGCTTTAGTTTGTTGCTTGTTATTTTGGTTTAGCCACTTTCTGTCATCTGTCCCCCAGAACTCTCTCCAGTGTTTCAGAAATCAAAGAATCACTTCGATGACTTACATCTGCCTGACCCAAGCTGTCTGATCCTTTTCGATAACAACAGTTCCTGTTACAAATGTGAGGTTCACAGATACCAAGACACGGTGATGTAGAATTGATGGCAACTAACAAAGCACTTAGACCCTCACAAAGTAGGGAAGCACACATTGTAATCCTATAGAGGTATCAGTCTACCTAATTATTTTCAAACTAACTAAATGGTCTTGATTTTTTTAAAAAATCATTTTATTGGGGGCTCTTACAGCTCTTATCACAATCCATACATACCGTATATACTCGTGTATTAGCCAAGATTTTTAGCACATTAGGTGCCTCGGCTGATATTCCGGTCGGCTTATACTCAAGTATATATGGTACATCCATTGTGTCAAGCACATGTGTACATGTGTACATATGTTGCTATCATCACATTCAAAACATTTCCTTTCTACTTGAGCCCTTGCTATCAGCTCCTCATTTCTTTTCCTCCCTCCCTCATGAACCCTTGATAATTTATAAATTATAATTACTTTTTCATGTCTTACACTGACTGATGTCTCCCTTCATCCACTTTTCTGTTGTCCGCCCCCCTGAGGAGGGGGGTGTTTTATGTTGATCATTATGATTGGTTCCCTCTTTCTCCCCCCACCTTCCCCTTCCCCTCCTGGTATCGCCACTCTCATTATTGGTCCTGAGGGGTTCATCTGTCCTGGAGTCCCTGTGACGTGAGCTCTTGTCTACACCAGTGTACATGCTCTGGCCTTGGTTGTTTTCTTAGTTCAAGGATTCCAGTAGCATGGTTTTCTATCTTTGACTTCCTCAAGGCTCAAGGGTACACACTTTTGCTGGAGTTCTTTATCTGGAATCTTCAATTCCTGCTTTCAGATCAAGGGATGAGAAACATAAGCTTATTTCTCAGGCTCGGTCAGGCTTTCCACAGACATGAATGGATGGCTCTCCTGGGATTTGTGAATGGACACAGGCTTAAGAAATGGCCTAGAAACACTATAATGACATGTCTGGTAACACATACATCCTTGTCCTTCTGAGTCCACACCCAAACCCTGTATTTTCAAGGGCAGAGGATTAGATTGGGGGTGTGCAGTATCAGGTGTAGGAAAATATCTTTATGGTAGTGAGCTCATGCTTGGATTTTGCAGCAAGGCAGTAGCACGCTAAAGAGATGTCCAGAGCAAAGTGAGAGTCTAGGAACTGCTTGCTACGTCTTTGTCCCCTGTCACCTCCGCTGCTTTCTCTAACTAATCCTGGGCTCGCTCTCCTGGCTACTCCTCCGGCATTCACCCCGCTCAGACTTTGGCAGGTTTCCAGTTCTTGACTTTGGCAATGCTTGTGCATCGAATCAAGGGCCTCTTCTAATTTTTTTTATCTAACTAAGAAAGTCCCTTGGATTTGACCTTGTTCAACTCCATGTCATCCTCTTGCTTAAACAGCTTTTTGAAAGATAGTTTAAAGTAAAAAGAGGGGTGGAATTGTTTTTATACTATTTTAGTTTTGGTTACTTTTTCAAAGGTAATGTATCTTCTTATCTTTAGTCAGATTTGATATATTAACCTTTTGATAATCTTAACTTGATAATCTTAACTTCAATAAATATGTCTTCAAATAAAGTAGTGGTTAGATCTCTTTTTAATAAGTAAGAATCAATACGTTTTAATGAATAAGTAGATTTTAATGAACAAAATTCCACAGAGAATGTAAACTATATTGCACTTGACATATAGAAAATTCCAAAACCTATTCATATTTCACACATCATCTAGTTATTAAAAGAACTTAGATATCAACTATTTATATGAGAAATATTTAAAATAAGGGACATTTGTACTCTCAGAAACTAAGCATTGAAATTGTACCCAAAGACTTGAATTTCTGTGCCAAGTCTGCATTTTAAGAGCTTAGTTAGTTTTTCTGTGGACTCCATTTACATACCTTTCAAATAAGACTATTAATATCTGAAACTCAAATATACTTTATTTACAATAAACACCTATTGCTTAGATTATGACAATCAAATATCATCTCTGTCTCTTTGGCTTGTGCTCCAGTCCCCTGAAAAGATTTCTTCCCTCAATCTTCTGGGAGTTATCAGAGAAGTCTGATATATTTTCACAAATTAGTTCAGTCACTTATCTCACAGAACATTCAGAAGATACTGCCAGCATCAACATTTCTGGATATTTTCACACTTTTTACTCAAAACCTACCATCTGCTCATTCTTGTGCTGTACATTTTTATCCCATTTATTAGACCCTGCTCTTGCTTCAGAGTTCCTGACTCGCACCAACAGTGGAGCAGTCAACTCCTTACCAAAAGGTTTGCAGTTTCAGTATATCCCGAGGCATGTGTGGAAGGAAGGTCTGGAGACCCACTTAAAAAAGGCATACTCTTTTTTGTTTAATTAATTAAAAATAATTTTATTGGGGGGTTGTACAACTCTTATCACAATCCATCCATCACCCATGCGCCAAGCACATTTGTACATATGTAGCCATCATCATTTTCACAACATTTTCTTTCTACCTGAGACCTTGGTATCAGCTCATTTTCCCCTGTCCCCCACCCTCCCTCATGAACCCTTAAAAATTAAAAAAATGTTGGAGGCCACGCCTTCTCCTGGGGGTGCGCCTTCCGTTTCCGCTGCCGGCACAGGATCATCAATCTTTCGGTACAGACAAAAAAGCAAGTAGCAGTTGAACAGGAGAAGAATGGCATTGAAACAGATTTCCAGCAACAAGTGCTTTGGAGGCTTTCAGAAAGTGTTTGAACACGACAGTGTTGAACTGAGCTGCAAAATGAGATTTGGTATCTATTTACCACCAAAAGCAGAGACTGCAAAGTGCCCGGCACTGTATTGGCTGTCTGGCTTAACTTGTACAGAACAAAATTTTATATCAAAAGCCGTGTATCATCCAGCAGCCTCAGAACACGGCCTTGTCATCGTAGTTCCAGCTACCAACCCCCGTGGCTGCAATATCAAAGGAGAGGATGAGAGTTGGGACTTTGGCTCCGGGGCTGGATTTTACGTGGATGCCACTGAGGACCCATGGAAAACGAACTGCAGAATGTACTCCTACATAACACAAGAGCTTCCACAACTCATAAACGCCAACTTTCCAGTGGATTCCCAACTGATGTCCATTTTTGGCCATTCTATGGGAGGCCATGGAGCTCTGGTTTGTGCTTTGAAGAAACCGGGAAAATACAAATCAGTTCCAGCATTTTCTACCATTTGCAACCCTATGCTCTGTCCTTGGGGCAAGAAGCCTTTAGTGGATATTTGGGCTCAGATCAAAGTAAATGGAAGGCTTACGATGCTACTCATCTGGTGAAGTCCTACCCAGGCTCTCAGCTGGATATCCTGATTGATCAAAGAAAAGATGACCAGTTCCTTTCCGATGGACAGTTGCTTCCTGATAACTTTATAGCTGCCTGCACAGAAAAGAAAATCCCTGTTGTTTTTAGATTGCAAGAGGGTTATGATCACAGCTACTACTTCATTGCAACCTTTATTACTGATCACATCAGACACCATGCAAAATACCTGAATGCATGAAAGACATCAGGTACTAGAATCTCTTTGGAATTAGAAAGGTCAGAATAAACTGAATGACAAAGGGAAAAAGATAATTTCAAAACAGTGGACTTCATAATCCTGAAAGGGTTTCATTCTACAATCAAAGCTCCTGAATAAATATATGGAACCTACTTCTGATTTTAAATTTCTTTTACCAGGGTTTATGTGGGAATCTTGAATAATTTATAGCATTTTTCGAATTCCTTTGGAAATTCTTACTATAGTGACCTCACATCATACAATACAAATGCCTTCTATATTAGCACTGGAAAGGAACACATGATCTTAGCTCCAGCCCCTCCCCCTTTCTAGACCATCAGCCCGTGGAGGCAGAACGCTGTTTGTTAGTGGTTGAGTGAAGTAATGAATGTAGAAATGTTCACGAGAATTCCCTATCATCTCACAGCTCATTTGTGGGCAGATACGATTGGAAACCATACTGTTTCTTGAGCCAATGATCCTATCTATTAAACCAAATAGGTCTGTGTGTATTAAGTTTTGGGTGTGTCAAGTTTCTAAAAAAGGAGTTTAAGGCTAGCTGCTAACCCAAATGCTGGTAGTTGGAATGCAGAAAAATTGAACTTGGTGAACAAACTATGAGAAATGTAATCAGTCTCTTTGTAAGAACGAAACTGTTATTTTAGTACTGTAGTAAACATGTTTAAAACTTGAAAAAAATTCAAAATATTTTTTCACGTCTTACACCGACCAATGTCTCCCTTCATCCACTTTTCTATTGTCTGTCCTCCTGGGAGGAAGTTATATGTCATTCATTGTGACCGGTCCCCCCTTTCTCCCACTACCTTTCCTTTACCCATCCTGGTATTGCTACTCTCATTATTGGTCCTGGGGGCTTTTTCTGTCCTGGATTCCCTGTGTTTCCAGCTCTTATCTGTACCTGAGTATATGCTCTGATCCAGCTGTATTTGTAAGGTAGAATTGGGGTTATGGTAGTAGGATGGAGGAAACATTAAAGAACTAGAGGAAAGTTGTATATTTCATCAGTATATACTGCACGCTAACTGCCTTGTCTCTTCCTTCTGACCCTTGTAAGGGGATGTCCAATTGTCTACAGATGGGCTTTCGGTCTCCTCTCTGCACTCCCCCTCATTCACGTTGATATGATTTTTTGTTCTGGGTCTTTAATGCCTGATACCTGATCCCATTGACACCTCATGATCACACAGGCTGGTGTGCTTCTTCCATGAGGGCTCTGTTGCTTCTCAGCTAGATGGCCGCTTATTTATCTTCAAGTCTTCAAGACCCCAGACACTATAGCTTTTAGTAGCTGGGCACCATCAGCTTTCTCCACCACATTTGCTTATGCACCCATTTTGTCTTCAGCGATTGTATAGGGAAGGTGAGCATCACAGAATGCTGGGTTATTAGAGCAAAGTGTTCTTGCATTGAGAGAGTACGTGAGTAGAGTACCAATGTCCATCTGCTACCTTAATACTAAATATAAATATATGTGCATAGATTTCTTTCCCTATCATTATATATAAATATATTTGCATATGTACATGCCTGTATTTAGACCTCTATAAATGTCCTTTGCCTCCTAGTTCTTTTCTCTATTTCTTTTTACTTTCCTCTTGTCCCACTATCATGTTCGGCCTTCATTCAGGTTTCAGTAATTCCTCTCAGCTGCATTGCCCTTGATCAAGCCCCACCAGGCCTCCTACACCCTCCTCACCATTGGTTTTTAATCCCTTGTTGTTCCCTGGTCACAGGGTTGGTTGACACCCCCGCCTCCTTTCCCCCGCCTCCCCCTCTCCTGCTGTTGGTCCAGTTGTTTTCTCCTCCTGATTGTTTATCCTGTCTATCTTATCTAGATAGACATTCAGAGACAATTACAAGATAGAGCAAAACAAAGCAACAAAGGAAAAACAAAGACAAAACAAGATAGAGCAAAACAAAGCAACAAAGGAAACAAAACAACAAAAATTACCAATGACACAAAAAGAAAGATCATAGTCTTAAAACCCACTTTTGAGTACAGCTTTACCGAGGGTTGTCACCAGTCAGAACTGACTCCACAGCAAGGAGTTGCTGGTGTTTCTTCTGCGTCTACTTAGTAGCCCTACTGCTGATTTCACAACTACTCCTTCTTTATCAGTCCCACTGGGTGGGCCTTGAAGCCGTTGCCCACAACGCACCTCTCTCTCCCAATAGATAACACTGTACTGGAATCCTCAAGAAGCACCTTGGTAGTTGCCTAAATTAATAAATCCTTTTTAACATGAAGCTGGTTTCTATGAGATGGAGGTTAAAGATGTCCCAAATGTCCAACTTTTCCAAATTGTTGTGCCACTCCAACATCTCTAACAAAGACTCCTCCTTAGTTTCCTATCAATCATCTTATTTAACTGATTTGGTTTTTTCCCCAACAGAGTTCAAATGTGACTTTTCTCCCCTTACCTGTCGTCCAAGGTCATTACTTTTCTTTCAGCAATTACAGGTAACATCCACCAAAATAACTACCCAAGAATAAAAATTTTCACTTCCTACACACCTTTATTCTTTCCTTCTTTTTTACAAATCATTTTACTGGGGCTCCTACAACTCTTGTCACAATTCACACATACATCATTTGTGTAAAGCACACATATACATTCATTGCCCTCATCATTCTCAAAATTCTTACTTTCCACTTGGGTTCCTGGAATCAGCTCCTCATTTTTCTTTTTTTTTTCCCTCCCCACCTCCCTCCCCTCCCCCCCTCCTTCATGAACCCTTGATAATTTATAAATTATTATTTTATCATGTCTTACACTGCCTGGCATATCCCTTCACCCATTTTTCTGTTGCCCATCCCCCAGGGAGGAGGTTATATGTAGATCCTTATAATTGGCTCTCCCTTTCTAACCCCCCTTCCCTCTTCTCTCCCAGTATCGCCTTTATTCTTTCTCTAACAAAGTCTCATGCATCCATGAGTCTGGAACCATTAGGACAAATCCTTTTTCAGATACCAACTTTATCGATGGGGTGACAGGAGAATGTGACCTCTTCTACCGTCACAAAGGGAAAGGAGAATCAAGTTCAACAACCAAATTTGATTTCTATAAAGTGGGGATCAGAGATACTGTAATCTTCTTCTCCAACCTTTTCACCAATTCAGACACCAACCATCCCTTCCACAACACTATCATGCTTCTCTGCTGGCTTTGATAATTCTTTTCAATGACCATATAGAATTCAGTCAATTCACATGAATATGGGTTCATTAGGGAAGTACCAAGGTCATGATAAAATCCAAGATACATTCTTTAGTCAAGGGAGCCTCTTCTCAGCCATGTCAACAGACAGGCCTCCCTTTGGTACCTCAGTCCCTGGGCCTTTCAGCTGGCTTCGGCCCTGCTTGGGCAAGTGTAACAAACTATAGCTTACGGGTGTACCCTCTCCTGCCCACTCCCAGGTTCTGCTCCCCCTTCTGCTTCTGTTTCTCTGCCACCGACTCACACCATCTCTTCCTGTCTCCAGTGTTATGGCTCTTTCTGCTCCTGGTTTTAGGATGTTCTCAGCAGAGAGGTCTCATGGCCTACAGACATACTCTGCTGCTGGATCTTCTTTCTTGCTAGTAGTAACATCTCCTTCTCTGCCCATTTCTCTCTCCTTTATACCTACTGTGAGATAAAAGGGAACACTGCATGGCTTAAAATCAGGAAAGGTGTGTGACATGGTTGCATCCTCTCACCATTCTTATTCAATCTATATGCTGAGCAAATCATCAGGGAAGCTGACTTATATGAAGAAGAATGTGGCCTTGGGATTGGAGGAATGCTTATTAACAGCCTGCAAAATGCAGCTGACACAATCTTGCTCGCTGAAAACGAGGAGGACTTGAATCAACTGCTGATGCCGATCGAGGATTGCAGTGTTCAGTATGCATTACAAATCAATGTACAGAAGACCCAAATCCTCACAACTGAACCTCTAGGTAACATCATGATAAATGGAGGAACTTTTGAGGTTGTCAAGAATTTTGTCCTGCTTGGTTTCTCAATCAGTGCTCATGGCAGTCGCAGTCAAGAAATCAAGCAATGCACTGCACTGAGTGAATCTGCTGCACGAGGCTTCTCTAAAGGGTTAAAAAGAACAACAGAAAAGAGGGTGACGGGAGATGTCAGACAGTGTAAAACATGAAAAAATAATAATAATTTATAAATTATCAAGGGTTCGAGAGTGAGGAGGGCAGGGATGAAGGGGGGGAAATGAGCTGATACCAAGGGCTCAAGTAGAAAAAAATGTTTTGAAAATGATGATGGCAACAAATGTACAAATCTTCTTGACACAATGGATTGTGATAAGAGTTGTACGAGCCCCCAATAACATATTTTTAAAGGATAAAATTTCATTTATTTGTAAATAGAAATAAATATTTAATAATATATTTTTTTAAAAGAAAGAAAAAATGTTGCTCCGAGGATTAAGGTGTGCCTGGCCCAAGCCATGGTATCTTCCATCCCCTCATATGTGTGTGAATGTTGGACATGGAATACGGAAGGCAGAAGAATCATCGATGCATTTGAACTATGGTGTCTTGGAAGAACAGCCAGAACGCTGCTCAGAGCCGAGGACGGGGACACTTCCTCTCTTGTACTTTGGACATGCTATGGGGAGACACCAGTGTCCGGAGAAGGACATCATGCTCGCTAAAGGGGAGGGGCAGCAAAAGAGAGGAAGGTGCTCAAGGGGCTGTCCATGGGCTGGAACAAAGGAACCATTGTGAGGATGGTGCAGGATTGATTTAAGGTATGTTCTGCTGCACACAGGGCTGCTGCGAGCTGTGCCCATCTCAGTAGCACCCGACCGCAACAAGAGCAAAGATGGGACTCAAGCAAGAGTGGGAACCCGAGTAAGGATGGCAACTTGGGAGTCTCCTACCCAAACCCTGCCTCATGCACAGAAAAGTGTGACTTCATTAATGTAAGTGTGCAACAGTAACACTTAAATCTCACTGCCAACAAGTGGATTCT